GGTATGGACCCCTAGCACGGTACTGTGTAATTTTCGAACAAAATTTCGGAAGAGTACTATTTGACTTTCCTGCGAAACTTACGGAATTTTTGGCTAGTTAAATGGTTAGCAGCCTCAAACTCCTTGTAAGATGAAGGCAAAAATAACGAAGGTGGAAAATGACAGATCTGGACTTACAAGTGAGTTACAGCAATACGCACCAGTGACAAGAAATGAAGAAGTTTGCCGAGGGAATAAGAAAGTCAAGATGCATCTTTCATGATAAAGATCATACCTATTCTAGACGACAAATGAACTCTTGACACTTGCATTCAGTGATGATCATCATTTGAGAGTTATCCCAAAACCTAAACTTTGCCTTGACTTGCCGGTACTCAATACACGCGTGTTGCTGTGAGTACAAAACAAGTGTAGTTTTTCACTGCACGCTGTACTTTTCATTTTAATTTTTTTCGGGGCTAATGGGACTGTATGTCCATTACAGTAATTAGTCATATTGGCTTCCTCCTGTTTTGCATAAATTAAATATTGTAAGCTAATCAATTTGTAGTTTGTTGTCTAATTGAGAGAGTGTGTTCTTCTCTCCCGAGTTATTTTGTATCCAAAAAACGTTCTAGGCGACTGAGCGGGTTAACATTTTTAACTCTAATGTGTTGACATAAAATGATCGATTTGTACGTTTGTTTGCTCGCGATGACAGCTCTTCCTGTTATCAACAATAGCAACTGAAAGCTCTGTTAACCTTGTGCTGTTGGGTCATAGATAGCAACGAAAGAATCTTGGCATGTTTACCGTGGACATAAAAAGTGAAGTATAAGTTGAATGATGCTGGAGGGCATATAATTGATAACTGCTAAGGCGTTTATCACAAGGATGCGGTGCTTCAAAAGGCTGTTGAAGCTATTAATGTTGATGGTGATATCTCTGAAAGAAGCCGTAGCTATTCCGTACCACGGATCGCAAAAATTCCTCGGCTATGATTACTGGACGCGGCGGTATCCTTCTTTAGGATACACCGATTGGGACGGGTTCTGGAACAATTATTACAGCGGACGAACTCAGTATAAGCGACCGTCTTCTGAAACGTCGGGACAGGCGTGTACGGGCTGTCAGTGTGATACCCTTCTGCAAGAACTCCGATGTTTTGGTAACCCTGGCAAATTGTAAGTACCAGACTATTAATTTATTGTGTGATAAGCCTCTCGGCGACTTTATTTAATTAACCTTTGCGTGGCAAGGGAAAAATAGTTGAATCGACTACTGAGAATCGATTATTTTGCTTTGAATAGCAAAGATTCTCATAGAGATTTCAAGTCGCAATTATCTGTTGAAATATTGTTGCGAGTGTCAAATTCCCCGACGGATTTCCCTGTTTCCAAACCAACGGAACCTTCCAAAGACGCAAATTTACATAGACATCATAAGCTTGTGACTGCGACAAAAGCTGTTTAAATGCGTAATCAGATATATCTTTTCTTTTTTTTTTTCTGCAAGGCAATTAAAACAATGATTTGCCATCTCACTATAAATGGTAAGGTGCCCCTTGGTGAATTAGCGGATTTCCTGATCAGAAAGTTTAGACCGTACCAGATCTCTACCGTGTAAAATCAGAAGCTTCTGGTAAAATCGTAATGATATATTTGGAGTGTTTTGTAGCCGGGATAATCTTCAAGGAGGACGGATCATCAACAATAATAATAATATAACAATAAATATAACAATAATAATAAAAGCAGGTAAATCTTCAGAATCTGGATGTGTGTGAA